AGAAGGAAAGTACTGTGGTACCAATATGTATATTTTTACACACACACACACACACACACACACACACACACACAAATATATATATATATATCAATCCCTGTACATACATACTGTACACAGAAGATGAGGAAGTGGAGAAGGAAAGTACTGTGGTACCAATATGTATATTTTTACACACACACACACACACAAATATATATATATATATCTATATATATATATATATATATCAATCCCTGTACATACATACTGTACACAGAAGATGAGGAAGTGGAGAAGGAAAGTACTGTGGTACCAATATGTATATTTTTACACACACACACACAAATATATATATATATATCAATCCCTGTACATACATACTGTACACAGAAGATGAGGAAGTGGAGAAGGAAAGTACTGTGGTACCAATATGTATATTTTTACACACACACACACACAAATATATATATATATATATACATATATATTGATATATATACATATATATTGATAGATATACATATATTGATATATATACATATATATTGATATATATATATACATATATATATTGATATATATACATATATATTGATAGATATACATATATTGATATATATATATACATATATTGATATATATACATACATATTAATATACATATATAATGATATATACATATATTGATATAAATACATACATATTAATATACATATATAATGATATATACATATATTGATATATATACATACATATTAATACACATATATAATGATATATACATATATGTTGATATATACATATATTGATATATATACATATATATATTGATATATGGATCGATTTAGTGACACAAACACCAAAGGTCTGTGGTCGGTGTAAATAATGAACGGGCGGCCTTACACATAAGCATCAAAGTTTCTGACCACCTCCACCACTGCTAAGGCCTCAACATCAATGGCAGGATATCTTTTTGCCTCTCTAAACTTACGTGAAAAATAAGCAACGGTATGAGGGACTCCTACCTCATCTCGTTGGATCTAACATTCTCCAATGGCAATCTGGGATGCATCAGAGTGCACCTAAAACAGGGGAATAAAGTCGGGCTTCCTCTAGACTGGTGCAGATGTCAGCCGATCTTTTAATGCTTCAAGTGCTCGTAGGCGCTCTTCCTTCCACTGAAATTTTCGTCCCTTCCTGGTGAGATATGTTAGAGGTGCAGTTGTCTCTGCATACCTGAGGATATGTTTGCGGAAAAAGCCTGTACAGCCTAAAAGTTGCATTAACATTATGTGGGGGCTTGATTTTACTAATGGCCTCTACTTTTGTAGGATCTGGGTATATAGCCTTTCTAGTGTTTTAGAGCTATTTGAGTCCTCATGGATGCTTCTGCTTCTGCCCGAAATTGTCCCGAAGCTCCTCGTAACATCTTATCCGAGGAGAATTGCCTGGTAATCCGAAACCTTCCAACCGAATTGCAGTGATTGATCCTCACGTCTGACCCGGCATCGCTAAACCTTCAGTTTCTCGGCCATTCACCATTAGATGTAT